CCACTATCAACACCACTCTCCTCACTCCCACCACCACTGAGACCACCTCCGATGACCGACCAACTGCTACCTACACCATCCCCGCCCTTTCCACAAGCAATGGGGACTTGATCCTAATCGCACATTCACATCACGCATTGGCCAGCTCATTCAATTGGGAAGCTGTCACACAAAGCCTGACAAACTATTCCCTGGAGCACCAATATGCAGCACAGACCGCTGTCTCCACAGCTCTCGCGCATTCACTCAACGCATATGCTTACTCGGTCAAATACGTACCCAAAACAATGGAATTCACCGAGATATCGACACATCTATCACATCCTGCACACCCATTAACAATCCCATCACCAGCCCTCCTGTCGATTTGACCACCATCACACCAGCAACAACAACAACATTACCAGTATGTCGTTTCTAGATAACGTCGGATTCTGCAATCTGCAGAATTTCTTCGCCAGTGTCGCTTCATGAATTGCTTTTCTGTCAGGGGCTCGTTCAAGCACTCTCTGCTGAAGCAGTTTTATGCTGTCTTCGCCCATGAACTCACAGCATTTGGTCTTTTCCTGGTCAATTATCTGGCGGTATTTGCGTAGCCTCTGATGATGAATCCGCGACGGATTTCGAAACGTCAGGTGAATAAACCTATTGTCCCAGCGATCGTGTCGTCTTCTACTTCTCAACAACAGTACCATTACTGTTCGCTCAGTATCTCCAGATCTATCTTGCTATCACTGCCACCGCACATACACATCATGCATCGGCCTTGTTGGTCATGTGTGAATCCATCATATAGAGACTGGTGAATCAGTGCCTTGGGCTCCGACATATAGTCGCCACACCCGCTCCCGCTGTCCCAATTAGGACTCCGCATTGGCTTCTAGCCGCACACTCCTCCACAAAAAGTTGCGGTAGAACACCGCTAGCCATACCACATTACCACGCCTCTCCTCATCAGCCTCTACAACATGCATGTTAAACCCCAATGCCGGGCAACAAGTGCTTGTAACCAGTGACACACACGGAGAAGGAGGCATGATCTTCGGCGCCCTGTCCACTGGGTGTGCGAATGGGAAGAGGAAGTGAAATCAACAGCTTAGCGCACGTAGATTTCTTTGCATAATCTGATGCGCATGGAGCTATCACGGTGCGATAAAAGCGTGGGTTTGGAAGGTTGCCAACTGGCAAGATGAATCAGATCGTGCGGTCATCCCATACCTCCTGTGTGGTGTGGCGGACTGAGAGTCAGGCTCAAAAAAAAGCATTTCTCATGCGCTCTCGCTTGCCTCTGGTCTTCGTGATTTAGTAATCAGCCTGGACCCAGGGGACGAGGAGGAGATAAGGTGGTAGAAGCAGTGCAAGTCAACTTTCCCTATAATCTAATTCACGCACAAAACATGGTACTTTCTTCCCGCCTGCTGTGAAACACACAGTTGCCATCGTCGACACCGACAGTGTTGGTTCTCACGGTGCGCGATGAATACACCATCTGTCGCAAAGGCTATCGCTATACATTCGCACCTTAGGTTACATTGAAAGGATTCTCTTGTAGTTATACGTTAGTGCGAATGTTTACCTCTATACGCTGTTAGATATATTACTACCTTTGGAGTCGTCCTCTTTTAAAACTACCTTTGCCGAGGCAATTGGTTTTCCTTGATAAATTAGCGTGGCGCTATCATCTCAAGAAAACACATTCCTCCTGCTTATGTATGTTCTCCTTAGAAGTGTCTTGTCATATTTAGTTTGATTGGCCATTTGTCGCCTCCGAAACGTTCTTTCCCTCGGCGGGAGGGAATTTTTATCGACTGAATTTAATGAGAAGGCAGAAAAGGTGCGTTGAGTTTTGTGTTGAAGCCGAAGTGCAGGGCTCTTATGAGATGGCGCCAGAAAAAACGGCTGGACATAAACACATTCCGGTCACCCTCGCCTGCTCAGGTAAGTATTTTCTGTAAAAAACTCCTTTTTTTTCGTAACCTGCTTGTGTGAATTTCTTTGTTTGCGCGATTTGCGCATGTGCAAAATTGTCGGCACTACGAAATTATGTGGTAATTCAGTGTGAGCCAAGCTGCGATGTACCGGTTAACTGGCACACGTGTGCGGGCAATGCATGCGCGCACTGAAATGCGCTCTCGCCAACGAGCAGTTAGTAGCTGCCGCCTCATCATTCGCGCGCATTTCACCTCACAGGCCTCATTGGCTCTCAGCCAATCGGAGTTGAAAGACGTTCACCGCTCTGACGGATTGGTTGGTACGTGATGACTCAATCAAATTTCTTGCATTTGTGTTACAACACTGCTACCAGTGCTCAGCTCGTAGGTCTTTCATTAGCTGACCTTTACTTTTTGAAATAAGCTGCAGCAGGCCAGGTCAACATATTCTGGTGTTTGCAATTGTGGACTTTTATTTTTGTGATATTCACTTCGAAACATCGAACTTTCGGTGATGGATTTTGGAGTCGGTCAGCAGTTACGACTGTTCTGCAGTTTGTTCTCTCTTTTCTGCTGCGTGTATGGAGAATGCACAAGGTTCAGGCAAATACTCATGTGTCAAGGACAGCTGCCTCAACCCGATGAATTGAAAGAAGGCATTAATAAGGTAATCATTCACCGGCTGCCGGATGACGCGTGGTTGTCGAGTCCTGAGGGGGATTTTCCAGAAAGGGCCATTGAGCAGATCGAGTTTCGTTCTTCCAAGATAGCTCGTATAGAAGATGGCTTTTTCAGCAGGCTAAGTGGACCCAATCGTCTAAGGAAGCTGACATTTCAGGGCGTGACAAGTAGTGCAGCTCTTGATGCAAAGACTCTCGCCGGTCTAGGGAGTTCTCTCAATGAACTGAAAGTAGTCGGAAAAGTGGACGTTGACCTCAACGCCGTAGGCAACCTGAGTGCTCTTACAGAATTAGCACTGCTCAACGCAAACGCCTCCCCGATGCCAGAAGGGTTTCTTGCCTCCTTGCCCATGCTTCGAGTTTTGGAAGTGGTCAACTCAAATCTCTCTACCCTGCCGTGGAGTTCCCTTATACAGTGGGCTAACGAAGACAGGACGAGGGGTCTTCGAATCAGTAATATGGTAGTGGATTGCGATTGCCGCGCTCTGGTGCTTGCAGAACAAGATCCGGCCCTATTCACAAGGTAAGACACTTGATCTTCTCCCAGAACTATTTTATATTTACTTAGTGTGTTCGGAGGCCAGCGACATTACGAGATTTTCCAATAGCTCATCTCGGAAAGAGGCGGCTTCCAAAAGTCATCTATAATAGGCCTGACAAAGTTTAAATCTAGTTCGACGACCTTTGAATTATCGTAGATGGTTCATCAGCTGAAAAGTTTCTTTCGTTAAAGCAAAAAAATTTCATAGCTCAAAAGGCAGCAAGGTTCTGCGGAGGCTATCATTGTTTTAACTGGAATGCACCCGAGTTTCTTCTATGAGTATTGGAGGCAGGGCATTAATAAGCTTTAAGTACAGACGATTGGACGTCAGCGACTTTCGTGTACACAGGACTGACTGCGATATTCTTTGCTACATGCAGATCCGAATTATGGAATTTGCACTAGTTAATAGTCGATGAGAGAGTTCGAGTCTGGGAAAATAGGTTTATTTTAAATAAAACCAATGGGTCATTATTTAAAAGAATATCCAGTTAGATAAACGGAAGCGAAGCAGCCTTAAAATTCTCTTAGGCCCCTTCTATCAGTGAAAATCGTTTCTTAACCGCTCCTCCCTTGATGCAAACTAAAAAGGGATCCAGGTGGTAGACCCATTTCTATTTAATTTTGAGGCTCATACGTTTTCATTTTCACTCCATCGAATGTTACAGCAGTAGTTTTGGTGATTTTGAAGTAAATTTCACCATCAGGCGGGTCAAGGAGGAAACTCAGCGACTTATATATGTTCACTATCAGAGATAAATGAATTAAGAACCTTGTAACCAATCTGAATATACCCTAAGCATTACTCATGCGGCAATTAACTAGGTTAACCATGATGACTAGCATTCTGATCAAATCCTTTGAAACTTTGAGAAGTAGTCTTCCCTTAGTTAAAAATTTAATAACTTATGGTGTACAAATTAACCATGAGTGGATACCATCTCTGTTAGAGAAAATTACTAGAACCAGATAATACGGCTGTTACGTAAAAGAGGTAGATCGTATGCACGAAGTTGTCGTGTTTTGGCAATAGAATATAAACCAGCGTTAGGAGTTACAGCCTGCTGAAATACTTTTGAGCGTGCTTGGGGCAGGAAGACAGAAGAACATACCATGTGGTACTTTTAAGAAAAATGTCAAGTGTCTTGATGTGCACATTTTGTGTTACAACTAAACACGCTCTCACATGCATACGGTTTCATATAGAAATGACTAATTTCGTTGTCTTTCCACACAAAATAATAGTGTCTGACGTTCTTGCCAATCACCTGCTCTATCCTAACCTGTTTGTAAGGTCTGACGGATCTCTACAAGTTACGCACTGCTCCCGTTCTCCAAGTGTCATGCCCATCTTCGTATGAAAGACTGTTATCTTTACGCGACGCTTCTTAACAGTTCATTTTTTGACGTGTAACGTTTCTGAAGGCATTTTATCCTCATTGCAGTTTGTGTCTGGCAATCAAAGGTACGATTCCGCAAACCATAGTGGTTTAAGCAGTTATGAACTGATACATTGTTTACGTTTAGTCAACATTCGCTAGAAAATAGAAGATACATTGGCGATAAATTCTTGTCAGGTCTGCAATTCGAACGTCGCTAATCCAACAGCCCGCAGCTATCATCCCTCTCGGCTACCAGTCCCCCTTAACGCTGATCAGTTTTTTTGACCCCGATTATCCCCCCCCCCACACCTCCCCTGAAAACCGCACTATTTTTTCTACCAACTCGCATGGTTTATTTACTTAATTACGATATAAATGTACAGAAATTGAGGCAAAGGTTCGCATCCCAGGTATGTGCATAGATTGAGAAGAACAGGTTCGATCACCAGAATCTGAGTTTTATTTGTCTGAGCGTTCGAACTCTTGCGGGAGTCCATCGTCAGAGATAAAACGTCAACGAAAGCAAGCAACATTTATAGGGGGAAGGGACCAATTAACCGTCAAAGAAAGCAGGGGGTGGGGCGGTAATTAACCGTCAAAGAAAGCAGGGGGTAGGGCGGTAATTAACCGTCAAAGGAAGCAAGCACAATTTTTAATTTTTGTTAATTTTGA